GTGCATCATTCATGGACACCAGATCTGCTGCAGAGATAAAATACTTTGATTCTATTGGGGGGAGAGTGTCCAGTTTTGGTCTAGAAACACACGTATATCTTTCCATCCATGTGCAGATCACAAACTGAGCCGTCACTTTGCTGCTTTGACACAAACGGTACTGACAAACAGTAGAGGGTAAGTTTTCACATTTAATAACAGACAAAATGTTCTGTCATTCTCTTATATACATCCGTAATTACAAGATCTTCAAGTTTTACATGTAATCATCAGCTTCTAGTAGTGCTGCCTTACATACAAAATATGTTATGTACTGTAATCACATGTTTAAAGCCTGTAGAGCATTGCCATAATAGATTTTTAAAACCATTCAAGTGTCATTCACAATATTTTCTTATTTACAAAAAACAGCACTCCTAAATTATACATATATTATTAAACTACTTCCTCAGTATGTATTCAATGCCACTATACAAAGAGAAAAAAGGGTGATGCTTTCTTTCACAGTGACCTTATTCTGACGCTTTACTCTGTAACGAAGCGTTTAAACAGACGTTAGTGTTGCCAGTGTTAGACAAAAATTTAATTGTACTGCAAAATGGTACTGGAACTGCATCACCCTTTATAAATATGTACTTGCTGTGCATTTATATTTGTAAATACAAAAGACATAAGTGAGCAAGAATAAGGTCAATGTAAAGTTAAAGTGTTAACCAGTAAAGTTTGAGGCTTGGAAGGTGCAGGGAAATACAAGAGAGGAAGCAAAGCAATACAGGCTTCTGCAGAGTTCACCTGTGACGTCCCACAGATATTTTAGGCATCCTGTGGCCACTTTACACTCAGGTGGCTCCAAATGGTGGCGAAAGGTAATGGTCTGGAAAGTTTGAACTTTAGGACCCAAGAATCCTGTAATATACAATCAGTACTGTACTAACAGTAGAGGTCATGTTCACCGGCAGGGCTGGGCTCTGATGCGTTACACTGAGGGGGCAAATGGTGAAAAGAATGAAATGTAGAGTCCAGGGCTCATGTTGTGCTCTTAAGATTTGATTAGTCAGAAATTGTGGCTACCACAGGAAGACTAAAACTGTAAACAGACAAAGTGTGCCTAAAGAACTTTACTGCTGCAGTGAAACACCAAGAAATGGCATTAACACTGTTCCCAACCAGCATGGCACGTTTTATATCCATTTGGAGAAAGTGCAGAGTCTCTGCCTGAAGTCACTCTGACAACTTTCATGGATTATTTAAAACCAATCCATCTACACAGTATGGTGAGCAGTGTCCACGCTGTATTTAAAGCAGTGTGCACTTTTATTTTCGGAGCAACTAAACTAAATAAAAGTTCTAGCTTTTTGACTAATGCATGTTTTAGAGCTGCTTCACAAACCACCGATGTACAGATGGAATACTATTAACCAGCAGCCACGGCTATAGGAAAAGTTCAGTTTGTGCCAAAAGCTGTTTAAAGATATGCGTAGATCAGCCTTTTTGTAAACGTACCAATAACTGCACAATTTACTCAGAAGCAAAATGAAAAAAACAAATAAACTGAATTGAACTGACCCATTCATACAGCACTCTACTAGATCTCTACAAAGCTAATTGAACAAATCATTTTAATGAGACTGCAGCACGGTGGCACGACTGGTAGAGCTGCTGCCTCTCAACGAGCAGGTCCCTGGTTCAAATCCCTGTCCAGGGGCCTTTCTGGGTGGAGTTTGCATGTTCTCTCCGTGCTGCGTGGGTTTTCTCCAGGTACTCCAGTTTCCTCCCACAGACCAAAAACATGCATGTTAGGCTGATTGGTAACTCTAAATTGTCCCTAGGTGTGAGTGAGAGAGTGAATGGTTGTTTGTCTCGAGTGTCTCCATGTGTCCCTGTGATGGACTGGAGACCTGTCCAGGGTGTCCCCCGCCCCTCGCACAGTGATTGCTGGACATGGGTGCTGGCGACCCCCATGACCCAAAATGGAAAAAGCGGGTAAAAGATAATTGAACAAATCATTCTAAAGAGACTGATCAGAGCTTTATCACATTCAGACACTGATGGGACACACATCAGAGGCTAGGAGGGGTTCAGTGTCTTGCTCAGGGACACTTCAGCATGTGACTGCTGGTGGATTTGAACCCCCAACTCTTGCATTGGAGGACGACTGCTGTAACCACTCAGCCACAGACGCCCCCAAATAGATGAAGAAACAATTCTTAAAAACAACAACACCAGGGCTGTATGTGTTAAACTCATGCCCTAATTTCATTTCAGTGGTTCTGTCAATGTGAGATATTAACCAGAACTGTCGATAAGCAAAACATGTAACTTGTTAAATTAGGGTGCTTTCATATAGTTTTATTTTGTCATCCATTCTGGCTGAAGGTGCCTTTTTGTTTAGTACTGTTTGCTCACAGCTCGCCACACCAACATGCCGTCCTACAGCTTTGGACATTACAAAGCTTTAGCTCGTTTGGAGCTGCACATGCCACAAACGCAGTGGACACGTCGTCACATGGTAAATAATGAAGCAACGGAAAACAAGAAGCAACACGTGCACATGCAACAAGCAGATATGTCCAAAGTTGATTTGAATTTTTCGGCACATTGACTGAGCCAGTTGTTCAGATTTAAACCGTCAGCTGGTCTGCAGACAGACATGAAGACTCCAGCGGGTGTTTGTTTACGAGCCATGACTTCTCTGGTGGAACAAAAGCCGTGAAGTCATTTGGTGCTCCAGCAGTGTTCTTATGTAGCCGAGCTTTTTCTGAACTATTTCCACTGATAGGACAAACCAAAGGTTTATAAACACAAACATTTCAAAGGATAGAATATGGAAGATATTTAAGGATAAAAACTGAGGTCTGACCCACCAAGCAGAACAAAGTCAAGGAATCTGGATTTTCTTTAATGCAGCTTTGTGCCTGCTTGATTAAAATCTGATGTTTGGGACAGTTCTGTGGTCCTGGGTGAAAGGGTGCAAGGAAAAGGTGAATGAACGGAAAGCAAGATGGGTCAAATCACACGCCTTGAAACGCTCTCCAGGACTGAAATTTGTACAGTGGGGGATGTTATCCAGCTCTCTCGCCGTTAATTCAGAATTAAACCCAGGCCAAATAAACTAAACAAAAAAGCAACATTGAATATTTTCTAAAACAAAAATAAAGATTGAAGAAAACGTCCAGCGCAAGTAAACATTTTGTGGGAGGCTGACAAACTTACCAACCACAGGAGAATTAACTTTCTTAGTTAAATTTTGTGGACGCTTTGTAATTATCAACGGTTCATGTTTTACTCTGACCTTTCCTGGAGTTAAAGGCCTTGAACCAGACGGAGCAGAACTCAACTGTACAAGATGTTCAGGGCAGAATAATTCTTGTGGAGCAACACACCTCACGGGACAGGGAGTCAACAACGTGACAGCAAACAGTTTAAAAGGCTTCAGTCGAACTCATGCAAGAGTTATAATAACTGGCTTGTTCACCATCAGACTAATCTGACATGTGGGCAGAGATGAAAAACAAACACCACCCAGAAGAGGGTGAACGCCACCATTACGTTCCAGATCCAGATTACAGCGACACTTCCTGAAAAACGCACTTTTAAGTTTCTTTGGAGGATAGTTTGTCCTGATGCATGCTCAATAATCCAGGTAGAAAAATCTAAAAAGTTAAATCTGGTCCTCTGGACATTCAAAAAAACAAAACAAAG